GTCTCATTCGCTGTGAATGCGGAGCTTGACGAGGGGGAGGGGCTGGTGTTTTAGCGCGGCTCACCCCGTTTCCCACGAATTGGCACTGCTTGGTTTCTTCAGCAACTGGTAGAGAACTTGTTGTCGCCGTGTGACGCCTAGCTCCCCTGATTCACCCCAGCATCCGCACCACAAGCTGTACAGGGTGACCAAAAAGTTCTGGCAATTTTTCGAAATACTTTGGTATCGTAAAAGTGCCATTTAATTAACTTAACCAGCGAACCTAAACTTTCGGAAATCTTCATTAGACCAGTAGCGATGACGGTGTACAGAGAAATCACAACATGTGTTCAGAATTGCCTCCTTTGCTTCCCAGATCGAAGCTCGCAGGATGCGTCGTCTGGTCGGTGCTGGTCGCTTGAAAAATGTGCTCTTCACCGACGAAAAATTCCCACGATCGAGCCTGTACACAACCACCAGAATTGTCTGTACTACTCAAGAAGGGTCAGCAGAAGACAACGGCAGCGAAACCCGTCGGCCATAGGCACTTTCCAGCCTCAGTCATGGTCTGGGCTGGGATCTGTGTCACCGGAAAACCTCCACTCGTCTTCATCGACCGTAACCTTAAAATCAATGCTGCTAACTATCAACAGTGCGTTCTTCGCGATGTACTGAAGCCATGGACCTGCGAAGAGCTGCTTCCGGGATTTTGGGGCGAGGACATTTATCCTTCCAACTCGCCTGATCTGAACCCGATGGATTACTCCGTTTAGTCTATCTTGGAGCAGAAAATCTCAGGAATCCAATGCGTGACGGTGGATCATTTGAAAGCAGCATTACTGCGTGCTTGTGACGAAATTACAGTAGAAGAATGCGCGACCATTGTTGGACACTTCGAAAAGCGACTGAGCAAATGTATTGAGGTCAAAGGATGCGATTTTGAATACATGTTGTGATTTCTCTGTACACCGTTATTGCTACTGATTCAGTGAAGATTTCCGAAAGTTTAGTTCCGCTGATTAAGTTAATTAATGGTTTTTCTATAATTCCAAAGTATTTCGAAAAATTGCCAGAACTTTTTGGTCACCCTGTAGGGTCGCTAGCACATCTCGTCCCTAATTGCGCGAGAAAGCCTCTACGGGTGGCGTTTCTTCAGCTGTTTCTACCGCAGAATCCTTGCCGCTGTCTATGGAACCGTGGAAGTGGTACAACTTCTGAAATACCGGACCGAACTATCTGTACAAGAAAGGAATTCTATCCATCAGGTCAATCGTTGAATGTGTCTCAAGCCAAGGGTGTACTAGCTTTTCACGAATCTTACAGCTATACCGTGTTCACGACCGCTGCAGCTGATGGGCGTGTCAGTGAGGCCGGGTTTGGCGGGCCGCTAGTCCGTCCTCCATCAGCTGTTGAAGCAGGTAAGCGACAGACCATCTGCGTGCGATGCAATTTCGTCGTTTGCCTGATGCGCCCTCGTAACTACACTGTTGAACCGCAGAATGAGATTGTGTGCCAGGGGAGTTATTCGGACTTAACCTGTAACCACGATGAGCATTTTTCTTGATTAACCTATGGTCGCAAAAGGTGTCACCAATACGCATGGATAACACTAGTTTGCAAATTGTACGTACCTTGATGCCGTCGTCACAGTCGTGGTAAACTTTGAACACAGGATCGATATTGGTCAGTTCACGTTCGGAGCCCTGAAATCAGTTTACAGAGTTTGAACTGCACATAGACATGAAACATTACGGAAAATGCTAACCTGTAGCCTGAATTCACCATTTGAATCGGTGTAACCCTCATCAAGAACATCATCAGGATCAGGTCCTGAACAGAACGATACTGCTTTACTCGACGACTCCCCAGAGGAAATAATGTGAGCAGACGCCTTAAACCGTCGTCTTCATCCCACAATTTCACCTTGACTCCTGTAGCTGGCCTGTTTCCACACATAAGCCTGCCGCTTACTCCAACAGCCTGTTGACGCATTGCCACCGCGCACCCGAAAAGTGCCAGAAGAATCGCGTACTTCATCTAGAACTTGAAAACATGCAGAATATCGAAGCTGTAGGAAGTAGTGGATGAGTGGGACGCTAATGAATGATGGTTGACATGAAGCAGAACTTTCACGTTAAAGATCAACTATAAATCCATCTCTGTGGACTTTGGCCGTCGCTGTGTGAGCAGAGTGGGTCCGCTACTGCAGTAACGTGCCACTTACCCCACTCAAAAGTGCACGGGAACAAGACTGGAGGTGGCAGTGCTCGAACGCCGCCTCCATACTTCACCCGCACTGCCTGCACGGCCATCCTGAACATGGCCATGCGCACTACTTGTCTGCGCTTTCTCACTTCTGGTTGTTTTCTACCTCGGAAGTGTGCGGGATTTTGGTATCGACCCGACTTTGACGACAGCGCAGGTGGAGTCGAAAGACGGCACCTGGGTATAAATACCCTTTAGCCTCGTTCACATGCGCGTTTGTGCCGAGAAAGAGAGATGCTACTGCAGCTGATTGTCCATTCACCCCAAACATAGCATGACTGAGGATTTGTGAAGGTAAGCTCTCATTGTGTCACTGACATCGAGCTTGGAATGATAAGAACGAGCGGGAATTTTTCGAAAATTCCCAGTTATATAATGTTTATAGTGACCATAAGAGCTCTAATTTTGGGCGAAACCCTTATCAGCTGAAATACGAGCCTTGAACTCGCGTCTCTCGGGCAAATCACTATACCACCTAAGCTGTCTTTTGTCACTTCAACTTCACTTCATTTGCAAGTGCTCATCGGCATGTAATTCCTATGGCTACAAATTTCTGCAAAGACCCGAACTATTTTTTCTTATCAGTCGACTTTCTGGACAGCGCCTTTCCTGATAGACTCCTTGAATTCACAAAAAAAACTGGGAATTGCTACTTTTCATAAATCTCATATTCGAGCGTCGAACCTAATGTATTAGGGTGTCCGGAAAGTTTTGAGAAATTTCAACCAGCTCATTTAACACTTATCAACAACAATAAGAGATAGTAGTTCATAGTTATAATAAATGTTGTCCATCCTATGTCCCTTACCTTTTGGGCGGGATTACCTTGCGTGGGAGCTAGAACTAAGCGAGTACTGAGAATGAGGGGCGTACGCAACATCTAAGCTAAACTTCCATGGAAGAGACCGATTGATCTCCTAGTATAGATAATTTTGAAGCGCATTTTATCCAGCATCGGAGGCGGTTCCTCATTCCCGATTTGACCGATAGAGGAGCCAGAACGGTGAAGATGAAGTAAAAGGCGTTGGAAGTCGTGCGCGCTCATTTTTCAGGTAATGTCAAATCATACCAACAATGGAGAATAATAACAACCAGCATTAGTATTGATCTACAAACATTTCTCTTTCTCATAGCACTTGATATATGACGTTCTGTTGGGGCATTCGCTTGCTACACTTCTTAAAGTGTGAAATTTCTCAAAACTTTCCGGACAACCTAATAAATCAGTGGTCAGCTCCGTTTTGGCCAACATCGAGCAGTTTCTGAACAGACGGAACAATTTATGAAAGTCTCTGATCTTCATTGTGCCCTTTTGTTTTGTAGTGTAGTCTTCTTCAGAGAAAAGCGTTGGTCTCAGAGTGTAATACTCATAGTCTACGAAAAATCGCCGAGTACTTCTGGTCTTTCGCAAAGAGCATTTGTGTGATGGATCAACTGCCGGTGTTTTATCAGCGATTAATGA